CCGCCAATGGTCTTGCTGAAACGTTCAATAAGACTCTATGCAACCTCCTGAAGAAAGTTGTCTCCAAGTCCAAAAGGGATTGGCATGAAAGAATGGAAGAAGCTTTGTGGGCATATAGGACAACATATCGCACACCAACTCAAGCAACACCATATTCACTTGCTTTCGGAGTTGAAGCAGTCCTGCCACTCGAGCGTCAAATACCTTCTTTAAGACTTGCTATTCAAGAAGGGCTCACTGAAGAAGAAAATGCTCGACTGCGTCTTGCTGAGTTAGAAGCACTTGACGAAAAGAGGCTAGAAGCCCAACAAAACCTTGAATGTTATCAAGCTCGTCTATCTCGTTCTTTCGATAAGAAAGTTCGCTTGAGGTGTTTCCAAGTTGGAGACCAAGTTCTTGCTGTAAGAAGACCCATCATTACTTCGCACAAGTCTGGGGTCAAATTTACCTCAAAATAAGATGGACCGTATGTTGTACAAGAAGCATATTCACATGGTGCTTACAAGCTTGTTGATGCAGATGGCGTAAGGATTGGTCCTATTAATGCAAAATTCCTAAAGAGGTACTACCCTTGAAGTAAGATGATGCTCCTTAAGGTACGAGCTTAAACTGCATATCACTCCTGGCCCGCAAGAGTATAAACTGTGTACGGCACAAAAATAAGATAAAAAAATTCTCTCAATCCCCCAGAACTACGTTGTGACTTGATCCTCTTCACTGAGGTACGTAGGCGCTTAGAATATATCCTAAGTTCAGTTGCATGAGTGTCAAAAAACCACATGTTCCCACTTGATCTGTAACATGACAATCAAAGTGGTAAGTATTTTGTTTTATCTTTTGTCCCATCAAACCTTAGACTTGTACGAAGTATTCATTGGTCAATAGATGGGGGCAAACCTTTAAAAAAAAATGAGTTCGGTTAACAACATGCTTGAAGTTTCTTTAAAATTGAAGTCTTTAAGTCTTCTAAGTATGCAAGTTGAAGTCTTCAAATCCTCCAAGTATACAGGCTGAAGATCTTCAAGTCTTCCAAGTATGCAAGTTGAAGTCTTCAAATCTTCCAAGTATACAGGCTGAAGGTCTTCAAGTCTTCCAAGTATGCAAGTAGAAGTCTTCAAATCCTCTAAGTATACAGGCTGAAGGTCTTCAAGTCTTCCAAGTATTCAAGTTAAAGTCTTCAAATTCTTCAAAGTCTGCAAGTTGATGTCTTCAAATTCTTCAAGTCTGCAAGTTGATGTCTTCAAAGTCTTCTAAGTATGCAAGTTGAAGTCTTCAAATCCTCCAAGTATACAGGCTGAAGGTCTTCAAGTCTTCCAAGTATGCAAGTTGAAGTCTTCAAATTCTTCAAAGTCTGCAAGTTGATGTCTTCAAATTCTTCAAGTCTGCAAGTTGAGGTCTTCAAATTCTTTAAGTCTGCAAGTTGAGGTCTTCAAATTCTTTAAGTCTGCAAGTTGAAGTCTTCAAATTATTTGAAGTTTGAAAGTTGAAGTTTTCAAGTCTTGACCTTTAGATTACCTTTCTTAGGGCGGGGATGCGTATTCATCCTCTTTTCGCCTTAAAGAATACATTTAGATTACCTTTCTTAGGGTGGGGATGAGTATCCATCCTCTTTTCACCTTAAAGAATACATTTAGATTACCTTTCTTAGGGTGGGGATGAGTATCCATCCTCTTTTCACCTTAAAGAATACATTTAGATTACCTTTCTTAGGGCGGGGATGCGTATCCATCCTCTTTTCGCCTTAAAGAATACCTTTAGACTACCTTTCTTAGGGTGGGGATGAGTATCCATCCTCTTTTCACCTTAAAGAATACATTTAAGATTACCTTTCTTAGGGCGGGGATGCGTATCCATTCTCTTTTCGCCTTAAAGAATACCTTTAAATTACCTTTCTTAGGGCGGGGATGTGATCCATCCTCTTTTCGCCTTAAAGAACACCTTTAGGGCGGGGATGCGTATCCATCCTCTTTTCGCCTTAAAGAATACATTTAGATTACCTTTCTTAGGGCGGGGATGCGTATCTATCCTCTTTCGCCTTGAGAATATCAGCTGCATGACAGAATTTAAAGTTAACTTCAACAAATCACCTAGAAAAATTCTGAAGGTATTAAGCCCTGAATTTCGGATATGTTGTAGACCTTTGTGTATAGATTCTAAATAATCAAGCGGCTTGTGATTTCGTCGTTCCTACATCAAGACACAAGAGTTTTAGTAAAGCCACACAAGTCTGCAATTTTCAGCATGACAGAATTTAAAGCTAACTTCAAAAAATCATCTAGAAATATTCTGAAGGTATTAAATTCCGAATTCTGGATATGTTAGAGATCGAGAAGTCTAGTTTCTGGAAAATCAAACCGTTCTTGATTTCGATTTTTCTACAATGAGATATGAATTTTCTACGACAAACATGTCAAGCTGTAAAAAGGGTGACGAAAATCAGAAAAAGGGAAGAAAACTACCTTGAATTATGCCCCTTCGTCACAGGCTCGTAGCTCACAATCTGTAATTGAAGACAAAATTGTGGATATAATGTGTCTGTTTATAGATGTCATGTGGTGGGAATAAAATTATTCTCCTAGTTCAATTACAATTCCTTTTTGGCTAGGACAATAGAAAGGATATATGAATATGAAATTGAGTGGGATTACAATTCCTAGTTTAATTACAATTCATTTTCGTCTAAAACAATAGAAAAGATATATGAATATGAAATTGAGTGGAATTACAATTCCTAATTCAATTACAAATCCTTTTCGGCTAAGACAATAAAACATATATATGAATATGAAATTGAGTAGAATTACAATTCATTTTTAAGGCGATTGGTCACTTCGACTAAAACAAGGAACGGTTTGTGGCGTTGAAATAATTTGTAGCCTAATCCTTGACAAATTTGGAGACATGAAACGGTGGCAGTACAATGTGGGCCCTTAAATTAGCTTCCTCCGTTCAAAAGACCATCTGAAGTATATACTTTATGTTGGAAATTTTGAAAGTATATGTATAATATTGATCTTCCAAGTAATTGATGAAATGTTAAATAAATAAATTGCGTTGATTAGTTTATTTTATTTGACTCAAGATCAATTTAGTAACTGGTTAATGCTTCAAGCCTAGTCTTTAAAAGATAAAATATCTCGACAAGACTTGAAGCAGGGGGCATTTGTAATCATTTAAAATTTATTAAATATAAATTTATAAAATGATTGGAATTATATTAAATTCATTAATATATTAGTCCAAATAAATATTATGGATTAATATAATTGAGTTAATTATTTAAATTCAATAAATATGAATTTAATTAAGGCCCGCTCCATAAAGCCCATATGCCATGTCACTTAAATCTAATTGGCCGAAAGGAGACCTCTTCTAATCACAAATCCTCTATTTTAAAACTATAAATAAGGGTCTTCATAAATCAGAAACGGGGACAGAAAATTCTAAACAAGAAGCTAAAGAAAATCCGTGGTACAAACGCCATAAAATTCTCTATAAAGCTACAAGTTTAAGAATTCAAGCATTTAAGTTCAAGAACGATCAAGATCAAGACTATCAGGTTCAAGAACAAGCTCGAAGCCCTTGAATTCAAGCAAAAGTCAAGATCAAGATAAAGTTCAAAGTTCAAATTCATCAAAGATTCAAAATCAAGCTTTAAAGCCCTTGAATCATATTTGAAAAGGCGAATTCAGAGGAATCATAGAGATTGTAACACTCGCACTTTGAAATAATAAATACGATTGTTGCTATAATTTTCCGTTCTTGATTATTGTTTTCTCGACGCGAATTTTATTGTCTACAGTATTTATATTAATAATTAATTTTTTAATGGATTTGTCAAAATAGTGACAAGTAAAAATGAAATCATTAAAGCTATCTGGGACAAAAAAAAACATCTTGTATTTCAGTTTTTCTAGCATAAGAGCCATCAAACTCTTTGTGATTTTGAAATTCAGAAATATTTGCTACTTCCTCCGCCCATATTACTTGATTATTTTTCTAAAAATAGTTGTCTCACATTAGTTTTTTATTTTACTAAATCAAGAAAGCATTAATTAATTATTTCCTATATTACCCATACAATTAATTGTTTTTGAAAGTGTTCATATTTGTTTGTAAAATTCCCAAGAAGTTCTTTAAAGTGCGAATTCAGTAAAATTATTTTTTTAGTATAATTTCTTAACATGCGTGTAAAAAGAAAAATGATCAGCTAATATGGGACAAACGGAGTAATTTTCCCCGTTGAAAATTCCTGAAATTCACTGAATTTTTTCCTTCCTGAAAAAAAAGAAGTTAAAGATTTCAAAAGCATCCAAAAATCAGACAATATTTCAAAAGCATTGCATAAACACAGGGTATAATTAAGTCATTATTGTACTTAATTATCAAACACATTATTCACAAACACATTGAGCAATACCAGATTCACTGTTCTGATTCTCTCTCATCTGTCAATTGGTGTTTGAAATAATACCTTAATCACTAAACAATATATCCAACTCTGATCTATATTTTATTCTACCAAAATGTTATGATTGAAAATGATTCATTACTATTCTGATGATTTATAGTACCATAGTAAAGTAATGTTTTGGGGTCTTTCTCTATATTCACTAAATTCTCTAAAATATTTTAGTTCTCTCCATTAGAACTAGAAAGCACCGTGGGCGGACATTATATCAAGATACGGAACTAGAACTTAACTCAACCCCGAAAGCTATCTAACTTGGAGGATTGCTCAAGTTCATGTAAACAGAACAGACACTCACTTCATTCCTCAATTAATGTAGGACTCTAACCTTCTCTAACACCCCTTCATTCCCAGGTCCAACTAAGCGTGTACCAGGAGTCCAAGTAAGAATGAATCTACGTTACTGAACAGGGTATTTTAGGAGAATTACAATGATATGAATACAAGTAAAGAGAAGGGTAACTAAGCTAACTAGATATCTAAATCTCTAGGTACAAGAAAATGTATCAACTTTATGATTCTCTAAAAACAAGAGGTCAAAAGTTTTACACAGAAGAATATGTTGTATATGCACTAACAAAACTATACATCAGGTTGCAGTAAGACTTGTTATTTTCACTCTCAACATCACTGAGACTCTGAGATTACCAAACTACCAACTCTTTATCTCTTCTTCCCAAGAAGAGGCTCTCCGAGATTCCCTTGAGTTCTCCTTGAGATGGAAGTATCCTTGCCTGACTTCTTCGGGTTTTCTCCTTCCTTGCTTTGCACTCCCTGTGGAATCCAATTAGAAACATCAGTAATTTGTTCTGTAGCAGCTTTTAGTGAACAACGAATCAGAAAACTCAACTCATTAATGCAGCAAAAAAAATAAAAAACTCTCCTCTCCCATCTCCATTTTAGTACAATCACAATGTAATGATCTAATCTAACTAGGCACTTGAAATCACTAAGTATACCGTTAACTATCAGATGATGCCACACAACAGATCTATTTTCTTGCAACTATGTGTATAGAAATTATTATATTGACATTTTCAAAAATATTTCATTATATATCAATGAATACAGTATAAAACTATAAATTGTGTACACAATGTGCACTTACTGTTCCCTTTTGGGCTGTTAACCTCCGGATTGATGGAGCACGTGCCACTGATGAAGCTGCTGCTGCCGCAGCCACACATATCCTGTAAATATTTGAAGTTACAATCTGCTCTTCAACAATAGTTACTATATTGAGTGGGTGAAATTAAGTTGTCCAGCTCTCACCCACCTCTTATGTACATCAACATACTCATCAGTTTCATCTACTATTTCCTCCTGCACCAATGATGGTAATTTCCATCTGTTATAGTCAGATGTGTAAAAGAGGTAACAATAAACTAGAAGAACCCCCAAAGATCACCTGTAAAAGTTCTTCAAAAACATCTTCCAAAGTAATAATACCTATTACTTCAGCATCCTCAATATCATCTGACGACTCAAGAACTCCATTTGTCACTGCATCAGCAGATGTTGGAGGTGTTACTGCCGGTACTGTAGCCTTCTCAATGTCAACAACGACACACTCTGTCTTTTCACCCTTTGTCATCAAATGATGGGTAGTTACATGAGGATTTCCACCATCAACTGTACTATCATCTGATTTCTCTTCCTCAAGTACCAAGGGAGGTTTTTGGTTTTTCCCTTTAAGCTTCACTACTGCAGCCATATGACTGCTACCCTTTTGGAACTCGTTTAGTATATCATATAGTGGCATATCAGCTGGAACTCTTAAAAGTTTCATGGAAAACAAGATTTAGAGCTTACTGATCGACACATGCATAGAAGGAAGGAAGTAGAGTAGTAAAAAGTTAATACCGTGGAATTCTGCGGATAGAAACAGCACTCACTGGTGTCTCAGTTTCCGGACGCACGGTAAGAAGACTTTTTACCTAAAATCAAATTGAAACTATCACAATTTCACCGGAGTAGCAAGATTACAAGTGCTCTGAAGGTGAGATCCAAAACTCACCAGTAGAAGTCCAATAATATTCTTTGGACTACCTGAGTAGACTGGAACTCGGCTATGACCCCGAGCAATAATTTTACCCATTGCCTCCCTATAATAGGGGCACAGAAGATCAGTTAGTCAACAACTAAAATTCATCTGGAGAATATTTCCAAGGTTAATATCCAAGAAATAGAGCTTCTTTCAGTTTACATGCATGGTCCATAGAGAAATTGAGAAGCAAAAGAAATTAGAACTAATTATACTAATCAATTATTCATGTATAGTGAGGTAAGCCTTGCCAGGAATCTCACGAATAATAAATGACGGCACAAATATTTGTACTGTATAAGTTCTGTACAGCTCATTTGAAAGAGTTATTTTCTCTCTCTTTTTTCCTCTTTTTTGTTGGAAAGAGAATTAAAAAATGGTAGTCGTAGACCATAGGTCACGCCTAAGGTTCAATTGGAAAGAGCTAGCCTTTAATTCAAATTTCTTGCAGCCCCATCCAAAGGAACGGGAAAGTCAGGGAAAACATGAAGAGGAAAAGTTAGCCTTGTTAAATATGGTGCAATACATATTAACCATAACATCACAATGCCTGTGGGCTGTCACCATTCAATTTGAGCCATATCACCAACCTGATTCAAACGTGATTATGTGACTGTTCAAAAATTTCATGCGGGACTCTGACAGAATAGTTGTGCCAGCTGAAATATAATTTACCTACAGCTATAGAACTAATAAAAGTCTTTTTACAAGAAATTAGCTGTCAGCTGAACTTTGGCAACCTAGCAAAAAAAATAACATAACTTTTTCATTGATAGGTCAAAGTTAGTACTGAACTACTGATCAATCGCTAGATCATCATAAGTTGCAGTCACATTAGAAAAGAAATAAAACAGTTAAAACACTTGTTAGTCCAATACTGTAAGTTAAGTAAAGATGGTGTGCAGATATTTGATAACAGAATCATGCCTCGGAACTAATGACTTCAGGATCAAAGAAGCTTTGCAGGACTTGAAGAACAGAAGACTGGGTTTGAATAATACAAAAGCTTGGAATAATAATGGTACCACACTCACCAGTCCAGCTTTGAATTGACATCCAAAGAAAACGTCGACTCAATGGGTGTCATGGCCTCCTCAGCAGTCTATCAACATCCCAAAAGCCAAACAAAAGAGAGCACAGTCATCACTCTAACATCTCAAGTTTATCAAATTCAAAAAAGAAAAAGATAAGGAGAAAAGAGTCAATTAGTTCTTATCGAGTCAACTTATCCCACAAAAAAAAGGGCCAAGAGTAAGTACAATAGATAGGTCTGCCTTGAACCAAGAATTTCAGGATACTGATAATTCAGGCAAACAATTCTAAATGACAAAAAAAAACTTATCTTCTCATGATCTGGTCAATTTTCACATCTACAAAGAATTCAACAAGGAACAACGAATGTTTAAAAACCTAAGCATTATAATTGATAAACCTGGGGTCTGGAGAAGCATGGCAATGATAAGACTGCTTCAGTGTCCGTACCTTCTCAGTTAAATCTAATGCTCCACTTATGATTGTTGTTTCATCATGTGTAAGTTCACCTCCCTTGCCAGCCTGCAGAACTTTCCCATTAAAAGAAGCTAAAGGAATTAGAAGTAATAAACTACTGGCTCTACAGTCTTATCAGTACTGAAAATTAAGGATACAACACTGACCTCTTGACTATGGATAGAAACAAGAGCTTTTAACTGAGCTCGTCTAAATAGTACTTCATGATGTCCTAATACGCAGTCTAGGATCTGAAATGCAGACCATCACAACACAATTTTGTAAGAGCTTAAAAAGAACTTCACCATTAGTCAAGAGATGCACAAAAACGAGAAGAACAAAGCTTCTTGGGTTACATAATTATTGATAAACAGATTTCAATTCTTATCAGCTAAGAGTATTCTAAGGCTTCAACAAGAACTCAGAATCCATGATGCTTAAATAACAGCACTCCTTTAAGTGAACAATGCATATGTTTAGCATCATTATTGACTTAGCTATCTTTATTTTTGGTACTTAGCATACATGTCCTGCTTTGTCTTTGATTACTTCAAAACTGCAATGATTACCTTCCCTATGGGGTACGCAATTGGGTAGCATATGATCATTAGAACACGAACAAGCCAAACAAAGTTTGCACCCACCGCAAGTCCATACCTGGTACATATTGCTTGAGGAATAACCTGCAAAACCAAAATAGGAGGAAGATAAGATCATTACACAAGGTCTTAAATGTGGAGATCTTAATTGAAGTCAAGTGGTTCAATTTACCTCACCAAATGCCAATACAAAAGTTACAGATAGTATAACTGCCACATACTGATTGAACATTTTGTCCAGGTATAAGGGTAGGGCCTCCATTGCAGCAGCATTACATAGAAGTAAGGTCACAAGAAGCTGGTGTTGCTTCTGAACAACGGGAAGTATTACAGCTGAAAAGGTGAAAATTCCATTAAAAGTAGAAGTCATGCTTTGCTACAGATTCTCCCAAAAAAGAAACACACAAATTACTGAAAGCTATTTCTACTTAAGATTCCAGAAACTAATTCACACAAACTGAGCAAAGTGCAAACCTGCTTGCTTTTTCTCATCAGGTGTTCCACTTTGCTGAAGGATCTCAAGCTCGACGAGGCCCAAAGACATGAGACCCAATGTCAATCCGGACATAATTCCGGCGAAGAGTACCAAAAAACATGAGAATCCGGCATAGATGAACCATGTTACTGTCCCAAATGCTACTTCTGCTCCAATTGAATTATTATTATTGGGGTCTCTCATTGCCATTCGAACTACTGCCACTGCATTCATCACATGCGGCATCATTTTGTGTTTTTTTGCTACTGATTCTTCTGGTTCAAACTAGAACCTTCTTCTTCTTTTTTTAAGTAATGAAAAAGAAAAACCGGTCCTTTTTCTTGGACTTGCTTTATTTTATTTTTTGGATTTGAGTTGCTATTTTGGTACAGTACGGTGGTTCTTCTCCCTACGGAAGGGAAGGCATGTGATTACCCAAAACGGAAAATTTTATACCTCTTTCAATTGTCATGATTTATTTTTTTTAATAGTTAAATTATAAAAAAATTGATAACATTTTCATCATATTGATATGTAAAATATTGTAATTTATAGTAATTTTTGTATAGTTTTTAATTTTTTTGTTTAAAATATCAAAAATTCAATTTAACTTTGAAAATTAATCAAATTAACTTTCGAAAAACACAACATGACAATTAAAAGTGAACAGAAGAAGTATTTTCCTTCCATTTCAATTTGTTTGACCCTCTCCTCTAGAATTTAAAATCACAAGATAAAATAACAATTTTATGCTTGACATATTTTTAATTTAAAATTATAAAATTCAAAAAAAGTTAAAAGATAATATAAGTTGAAGTGAATAATTTTTTAAAGATAGTGAAATGAGACAGTGGACAAATAATATGATTGGGTGGAATTTTAATCAAACCAAATGTTTTTCTTTTATATAGTTACCACTTTAGCATTGATATGTTGGGTAGTTTTGCCGTATGACAGAAGTAAACGTCTAATATTTTTAAAACAAATTAATGGATGATAAAAAATAATAATAACCGTATTAATCATCGAGGTGCAATATCAGATAATCCTAACACCCTAGATTATCATAAAATATAATTAAAGTTTCTATGAACCGACTCAAACACGTCAATTATCCTTAAAAAAAAAAACAAATGTAACTTATTAAGTCTTTATAATTGTGTCAACCTCCTAAACTCAAATCTTTTTCACTTCTTTTAATGGCCACCTAGTAGATGTGATGTAAATCACCCTTTGAAAGTTTGACAATCTTCTAAAGTTTAAAAATAATTGCTTAACTTGTAAGCGCGGATGGCTATGCATTCAGCCACACCACAATGACCCCGAAGCGATCTTTATTGACTTTGCTTCTGCTAAAAGATGATGTGCAAGAAGTCTCCTTGACTCTTAAATCGTGATCTAACCTTGGACTAGCTTTTATGATCCACTTGTTAACTCCTACAGATAGTTAAAATACAACAGTACATCAGAAGTTCTGAACTGTTTTTTTTGCTTTTTTGTGTTCAAAATCGGCGGCCCTTATAAATTGTCAAAAGATACAGAAGTTAAAGCGTATACATATGCACAACATAAACTGAAGTCTACATAGCAATCATAGCCTAGTTCAGCTATAGCATCGAATAGCTCCTTTTGATTGTCAACAAGGTTTGCTTGAGTGCTGCTGAATCATGGATCCTTTGTTGATGTTACATGGTCTGCTAATGCGAGCCAGAAGCTAGATCAGGGTTGACTAAAACTTGTAAGGCGTTGTCTTGACGTTTGGCTTGCAAGATCCAGGCTTTGCCATTTGAACCTGTATAAACCTGCCATCTAAGAACTTGACAGCAAAGAGATTATCAGATGTGGATGTAGCGGTAGATCCAAACCAGGAGATATACGTATAGAAATGCTACCTTTCCATTCATCTCTTGGACAGCAGATTGTGCAGATTCATTATCAGGAAACCAGATATATGCAAACCCCAACGACTCCTTACTTTTCTTATCAGTTATGATCTTGACTGCAACACATGGAGGGGAAAAAGTGCGACTTTAGCATAAATGATGCATACTCCAACGGTTGCTGAGTTTCTTACAATTATGATTTGATTGCAACAAAGGGAGGAAAGAAATCGTTGGAATCAACAGGAGTTCTTATAACATAAAATGATTTTCAATCAAGAAAATGGCAAAGACAAAAATGTACATAGAAATTTCTTGATAAAGAATATGCACCTCGACTGACATCTCCAAATTGTGAAAACACCACCTTCAATCTTCCCTCCGGTGTTGACTTTGCTAGTCCTGCATCAATTAAATTCTGGAATGTAATACCCAAACAAGGAGGAGAATCATCGTCTAAGGCTTGGAAAATCACAAAAATTGTCAAAAGTTCCTGCTCCGTTTGCTGTTCACTGCTCGGACCAAGCTTTAAGCTAAAGGAGAAGACTAATAAACCACATAATTGATACATCATGATAGTATCTCTCTTATTTTCTTTCAATCAAAGAGAAATTGGAGGTTCAGACTTGAGATAAAAAAATAATATAACAACCTTCATCAAACATAATGATCTCTTCAATACCCTTTTATTTGCATAAAACCTTTGTGCAGCTCAACAGAACATCCTTTTATAAAGCTCCATTGCCACACAAATCCACCAAAAATAAAGGGGGTTCGTAGTATGACAGAAAAATTTTCTGAAAACATTTTCCAGAAGAAACTTAGTGTCACTATCCAACACTCTAAAATTTAGAAACTATTCCAAACAGATTATCAGGGAAAAACACAAGCTAAGAAAGTTGATTTTTTCCCTTTTAGTAATTTTTTGGTGTTTAGTTGCCAGAAAAAATGGCGTTCTCTGAAAAATATTTTCCTTCGTACTAAATACCCCCTAAATGTAAATCGCCATAGCATCATAGACATTCTAAAGACATGCCTGACCAAGTCTTCTCTCCTTTTATGAGCTGCCATTAATCGGCTCCAAAAACAACTGAAGGGTGTATTTCACATGCCATGTACCATTATAATTATAGAATTGGAAATGATAGCACTGACTATACAAAATATTCAAGCATTCATTCACTATATCCACAATTACATAGTGCTTTCACCTCTTCAATAGCTGATTACAAACATGCATACATAAAAAGAAAAGGGAAGACAGCAAATTTTCCCGACTACTGGAAAATCTAAGGTTTAAGGGTGTGTTCAGTACAGAGAAATACATTTTTCCTATGTTCGTTGGTCAAATTTCCGGTAGGAAAATAAGTTCGAGAAAAATGATTTTTTTAATGAATGCATATAAAACAAGTTCCACAAGCGGCATTTCCCGGAAAATAAAACATTTTCCTTCGCATCAAACACACCTAAGTCTTCCTTATAATATTACTTTTAACTATTCTTTCTGCAATCGACATAATATACCTTTAATCATCCCCTCATTGCACAAAGTTATAGAAATCGAACAGAAAATCGATTGTAGGGACTATCTCACTGTACCTTTGAGGAATATAATTGTAGTATAATTATCATCATCATTATGTTGCTCAACTGATGAACCCGAGCACTTGGGGAAGTAAGGTTTCTTCTGAGACAGGTCAGTTAAATTACTCTGCTTAAAACTAAAAATGGATAGAGAAGGAAATTGGGTTTTGAAAGTGGAGACATGTCGAATTGCAGATGATGTAAACGATAGGGAAGATGAAATTAAGGAATTATTACAAGGTGAGCAAAACAGAGCCATTGCAAAACCCTAAATCAGATTTGGGGGTTCCTAAGGAAGGCAAACACAGTGGTAAAAGGGCTGATCCGATTGAATATGGGTGGGTAAAAAGTAAGTCCGATTCATATTTAACATTAATAAAAAATGAGTTACTCATTCAAAAATATGTTCTATCGGGTAAGAATAAGATTTACGTATACTATGCATATTATATAATATCATTTTTTAAAAAAATTATTTATAAAATTATACTAACATTTTTTTAATATATATATAAATATATTTTTTTATGATATTTTTAAATTTTGAATTCTTTTTCTATCATCCATAAAGAACCTTTCGTTTATTATGCCAATAAAAGTTAAGTGTATAACTTTCATCCTTTTGTAATAATTTTTTATCAATTTTTTTAGCTTGGTGTTCTAATAGACATGTTAAAAGAATATTGATCTTAAATGTTTTTATAATGTTTTCAAAGATGGCTTGGTAAAAATAATTATAACTTGAGCATGTGATTTTTGAACACGAATTTAATTTTCTTTTTAAATCTTTCTTTAATTTGTCGACATTTTGTGTCTTTTTTATGAGACTCATATTTTTTTTATTTTTCACATTTACACCACAGTTTGATCAGGTGTCTCTTTATTACAATATATATTCAATCAATAATTATTAGGTATTTATTTGCAATACAAATATTGAATAAGTGTTTTTGTTGACAATCGTCACCTAAATCTCTTGGTCGTGTAATTTTTTTAATTCAAGTTCAACTCTTCCCTTCAATTTTTCTATTGATAACATGTGTTTCTTTGATGAGAGCCACATATTTTTGTTATGTATTTTCTTGAAAATTATGTTTTGTTGGAAAAAATATAATATCTCAAAAATATAACTATATCTTTAGTAAGAGTGATTTAAACTTAATTCTTGAATAGCCTTAATGGCCAATTATTAGGAAATATTCCAACATTAGTTTTGAAAGGCAATTAAAACAATTCTTCATAACCATTAAATCTGAAATTTACTAACCTTTTTATGAAATTATAATGGTTGACCCACCTATAAACTTTCTGATACCTCTATATACATCTCTTTTCCTATTGCAGTGAAGTACTTTTAAATCTTCACAATATACATTAGAGTATATAATTATAATTTCTTCTCTTTGTTATGTTGTTAGGTTAAGAGCTTACCTTGAGTGATACACTTATATTAGGTGAAATATCCTAAAAGACAATACCTTCGAACACGTTTCAAGCTGTAAAAAATCCCTATATCATGAATTCATGATAAAGTATTTTCCGTAAATTTTTCAACATGCCTAAGTTCAACTTGATGCTCATGATTTTATTAATTTGCCGTAAATACAAAATATTTACGTCCCTCTTATGTTTACGAATAAATCCAACATTCACCTTCCACAAAAATACAATTGAATGCAGTAAATGACCAAAATGTCCTCAACCATCTCCTATTATAAATTCGTTACACCTTGTCTTTCTTCTTCCCATTCCTCAAAACATGACTTAGACTGTAAATATTTACTC